GGAGACATTGAAGGATCTGGCGGCGAACCGGCAGTAGTGGCGTTCTTGTTGTCGTTTCTTATCAGGTCAGAATGCTTGAAACGGTATGTATGCAGAGTTCGATTGTGTTCTCTGTGTGTTGATCATAGTGGCTCATCTTCTTCTCCCTCCCTCAAAATAGATGCAACCCCTGTTCAACTTAAATTTTACCACTAACCTTGTATGCATTGTGAGTTTGGCAGAGGTCAGTGAAGTTCGCTTCACTATATGATGATGATGATGATGATGATGATGATGATGATGATGATGATGATGATGCTCGCTAACAGACAGAAATCACAGTATGAAGCATCCACAAGCAAAGCATGTGCAGGAACAAGCAGCTCACTAAAAAAGATCTCCGACATTGCAAGTTGCCAGTGGCGCATTTTAATGTTCAGTCATCATCCGCGGAGCACAACTATTTCAACTGAAGTAACAGGAATCAGCCAGAAATCTTTGCTGAAACATCCTGGAACTAAACAGCAGACCGTTAGAGATCGTTAAACTGTAAAAAGGAAATTCCGTGAAAATGTCATTCCTTCTTTAAGAGTCCTGCAGAAATAGCCAAAATATCCCAATCAAAGTGGTTTGCAAATCTTCAATAATGGAGCGCTTATTTCCACTGAAAAACCGATTTCCATGTCAGGCGGAATCAATACAATACATGCTCTACCAAATGACCTTGAAATAGCCAATCAAATCACAAATTCAGTGTCACACCCACTCAGTAGCTTGATAAGCTTAGGCAGTCGCCACTTTGAATGTCATCGTCAACCGGCAATAGTTATGCTGAGGCTATAAATGTGGGATATGCGAGGCTGCGGAAAATTGAGCAGATTCATTGCCTACAGTATGGAAAGTGGTTTCTTTTTTCTGCCTGTTGTCATTCTGGTATTCGCAAGTGCAAATGCGGGGCCACATAGTAATCCAGCTGAGTGTGGGCCTATTCGTGACATTGATCGAATTGACTGCTTTCCTGAGTCCGGAGCAAATCAAGAACAATGCCTGAAGCGAGGCTGTTGTTGGTTGCCACAAGATCCATTCGAACCAGGTATGCCCATGTGTTTCTTCCCTCCGTCCTATCCGACATTCAAAATCGAATCCTTTAACTACACGGATCGTGGATTTTGGGCTCTGTTGGAACGCCGCCGTAGTTCTTATATGACTGGTGAATTTAATCAAGTGCGTTTGGATGTGATTGCCGAGACCAAAACGCGACTTCGATTGCGCTTCACGGTACCGTCAGATCCGAATCGTTGGGAACCACCGATTCCGCTGGGTGAACCGGATAAAAAAGTTCAAGATGGAGAATTTTCCGTGGAAATTTATAAATCTCCATTCAAGCTAAGCGTGAGTTGACTCATCCTAATACATTTCTAAACATGTCTACAGAAAATATTTGCTTCGGTTTTTATTAGATCAGTAAATACCAGTAGCAGTTGCAAAACGGCATTGTCTAGTTGGAAGCACTAATGTTCTCGCCTCAAACAGATTGACAGTGAGAGTAAAGTTAAGCATCAAAAACAACATTTGTAAAGATCAACCTGTGGAAAGGAGATTAGGGTAATCAAAAACAATGAATCTGTGATCTATTTTTGTGTGACGATTAGCGGGACTCACATTATACCTATCAATATCTATTGCTAAGCCGCATCAACAGTGCATGACATTGTTTTATTCTTGATGAAATTCGGACATTGTGTTTAGGGTTGAATGGAATGCAGGTTTAAGTAAAGGTTTTACCTGACTAGAAGTTAATAAAATTTTACATATAGAATCAGCCACTTCAGCTTGCTTCTAGTCCCGTGTACTCATGATAAAACGTCCGTGATGTTTTAACTATCTACAATCACTTTTGAACAACAGACGTGTGGAAATTGTACGATTTATCAGGTATCTTCACGAAAGGAAACAGCACCTTTATAGCACGCACATATCCAACAAAAGTCGAATAGAATCCCACCCAAAATTGTCATTCTGTTTGTCAAACAGGATAAGTTGGCAGCAAAAAGTGTAATTGTTATCAAAGGCTATTGCTGGAAGGATACAGAATGGCAAAGATGATGAACACTTGACATTAATTTGTGGTAAGTGAGGAAAATCAAACAAAGCGGGACCCCAAAGAAAAATAACACTGAAGATATATTTTTCTCATCCGCTTTGATATATATATATATATATTAGGCAGTATGTGAATGACTGGACAAAATCTCCCTGAAAGCACAAGACCGAGTTCACGCTTCTTGCAGCCCGTCAGGCATGCGTATCCCTGTAAGCTTTTGTCCGTTCATTCATTTACTTGTACCCAGGAAGTGTATTTTCGTCACAACACAAGGTGGTTGGTACAGTAGTTGCGCACACAAACTTTCCGCGCAAACAGGTCCGAAATTCAAATCCCCGACAGGGCGGAAAAAATTTCTACTATGAATGGGCTCGAACGGGAGCAAAACTGGAGTTTTGTGCGGTCCAGGTGGATTGCTGAGTGGATGAACTGAAAGTTATGAGGGAAGGTAAAGTCTGACGGATGGTAAGTATTGAGTAAAATAATAAATTAGTTTCTCGATTCCAATGAAGAAAACAGTTTGATATACACATGCCTTTTTCGGATGCAAAACGACATTGTTATTATGCATAATTATTATTGTTATCATGTAATTGAAGAAAAAACATTTCGCATACTGCTTGCCTATTACTAACGAAATTAACAACTTGGAGAACAAACCTTATTCGCCGTGGCACCTTTAAAGTGAATATAACATTTCGATTGTGGTTAGTTGCGAGTCCTCAGCGACAATAGCTATCGGATCTGCAATGTAACGTCAGGTTTTAACCCTGCAAATGGTGCTCCATGCTGTTGGTACAGTGGTTCAAATATCTTATATAGTGAACGGTTCGCCAAGTTTTGGTTAAAAATGGATAAAAACAACCGACAATTACGTTGCGGTCAATCTTTCTGAGGACGGAGGACTGGTTTAAATACCATCATTCCGTTTCTGTTGACGACCACCTACTGGCTATGAACCGAGGTCTCTCATTAGCATTTCCACGATCTGACTCTGACTTTCACCGATCATCGGAGCTGAACTATTTCATGCTACAGATTCGATTGTTAATAAGCAAAGAGTATTTATGTATAAAAGAAACTAAAATTAGCAAATCGTTGAAAGAATTTAAGGCGCCCTGCAACCACGGTAATTATTTTCGGAGAAATAATCACATAAAACTGAACAGACGAGGTTACATGTATCACGCAGATAAATTCACTGGATTTTCACACATTTGCATACGACCTATTTGGATCTGATTGTGTTTTACTTATGATACGCAGCTCATAGAACAAATGTAAATAAATGCCTGTGGTCTAAAGTGTTCGAATTCGCACAAACCTTTAAAGAGCACTTACCGTACCTGGAATAATCGTCGGTGCTGATACAGATGCAGTGGACGTGTCTGTGAGTGTGTGCACGTGCCCGAGCTTAACTGTACAACATTTTGCGTAACCCCACGACAGAATGGAGTAAAATAACTTAGTAGCTGGAACTACTGGACAGTTTCATACTGAAAGACTGTTAATATACAACGCTTGGTTTCCGATTTCTGTGAAATCAACACTTATAGCATTTTGAGGTAAGTACTTCGCATTATACATTGCACAAAGTTCAAGACGACTCCATTCAATGGAATTTTATTCATCGTTCTTAGCAAAAACCTGTTTCAGCAACAGCGATGCCTAATATTTTGCATCTTTGCAGGGACCTAAATGGCAAAACTTCGGTATACTGGTAGAGACTCCTAATGCCGAGCCCCATGGACAACACTTCGGTCCCACGTGTACTTATAGCCAGGAGCCGAGCTGGTTACTTGCATTCCTCCGTATAATAATCTAATTATTACAGATATTGACAAAATATCCATTGAGCATTTAGGCGAGGGATATATACCGTAGGTTTTGGGTTTTGATTCATGGATATCCACAATTACTTGATCTCATAGACACAAATGACCCATATAAACCAAATTTCCCATTAGAACAACGTTGTACAATGTAAAGATGTGCATCGGATAACCTTTATGAAATTAACTCACAAATAATCGGTGAGTTGTTACAACTGGACTGGTTAACCGCTTATTAGGCGCATATGTAAAGAATATTTATTCATGCCCAATCAGTTTATTATACTGAACTACTCATGTACCATTAAATCATAAGTTGAACAGTTGGAATGCTGCCAAACAGCGATCAGTGATCAGGTCAATGAGCGCGCAATGAAAGTTGAAAGGCCAAATAATCCAATAGATTATCACCATGATCTTTTACATTTGCTTTCATTTTTCACTTAGATTTACCGTGAAAATAGAACGAATGCACTGGTGGAAACCGTTGCCTCGTCCGTCATCATCGCCGACCAGTTTCTGCAGGTCGGGTTCAAACTGAATGCACAACGAGCTTTCTTACCCGGGGAAACGCGGGCCACATTCCCACATCCCCTCAACGAATGGCTTCGAGTCGGTTTGTGGGCCCGAGATACACCACCTATGGATAAGTGGAATCTATATGGCGTGCACAATATGTTCATGGGATTGACGTCCGAGGGGACCGCGTTTGGTATATTCTTGTTGAATAGCAATGCACAAGAATTTGTGCTCACTCCGATGCCATCCATCACTTATCGAACAGTGGGGGGTATTCTGGACTTTTTCCTGTTTGCTGGTCCACGACCGGCCGATGTGATTTCTCAGTACTATGATTTAATTGGACATCCGCCTGTGCCTCCCTATTGGTCATTGGGATTCCATCTATGTCGTTACGGCTACAAGGACTTGGCGGAAGTTGAGGAGACGGTACGCAGAAATCGTGAAGCGGGAATCCCCTTGGAAATCCAGTGGGTGGATATCGACTATATGGATGCGTATAAAATTTGGTCTATCGGAAAAGAGAATTTCGGTAACTTAGGAAAATATGTGGATGAAAAGCTGCATCAAGAATATGGTATGAAATTCATGATAATTGTCGATCCGGCCGTCAGTACACAAGGTGGTCCCAATTATAAGGCATACACGAGGGGATTGGAACTGGGAGTTTTCATCAATGACAGTGTAACAAAAGCTCCAATTCGGGGTGTTGTGTGGCCAGGAGAGACAGTATTTCCAGATTTTTCACATCCGAATGCAGAAATATGGTGGCATGAAATGGCTGAGAGTTTTCATAAAGAGATTTCTTTTGATGGTCTTTGGGTAGATATGAATGAACCGGCAGATTTCGATTATGGCTCCGTTAACGGATGCCCCAGCGACAACAAAATGGATAATCCCCCATATATACCACTCATTTTAGATCGGTCACTCTACGCCAAGACAGTTTGTCCATCCGCGTTGCATTACAACAATACTCCCCATTATAATCGACATAATTTGTACGGATACGATCACGCTCGAGTCACACGAAAGGTGCTCAGTCGCATGTTCCCCACAAGACGCCCATTTGTTCTTAGTCGGTCCACTTTCGCCGGGTCCGGACGCTACACTATCCACTGGACCGGCGATAACTTGTCCAGTTGGGCTGATATGCGCGCCTCGATTGCTCAGATGATCAATTTCAACATCTACGGAATTCCCATGGTTGGAGCGGATATTTGTGGTTTCCGTGGAGATGCGACCGAAGAGTTGTGTGTTCGTTGGAGCCAGCTAGGTGCATTCTATCCGTTCTCACGCAACCACAACGCTCTCGCTTCACGACCACAAGATCCGGCTGCTTGGAGTGCGAATGCCACTGCGGCCATCCGTGCAGCTCTCAATACTCGCTATCACTTGTTGCCGTATATGTACACGTTGTTTTTCCGAGCCCATTTGAACGGAACCACTGTGGCCCGCGCACTAGCATTCGAGTTTCCCGAGGATCTATCCACACATCGAATAAGCACACAGTTCATGCTTGGATCATGTCTTCTCATCAATCCGGTTGTTGAAGAAGGTCGCACAAATGTGGAGGCATATGTGCCTGCGGGTGAATGGGTTGACCTGACCAGCGCAACACGAATTGTCAGTACAGGTCATATGCGAAATTTCAAAGCTCCTTTGCATGTGATTCCTATCCTAGTTCGTGGTGGTTGTGTGTTGCCGCTTCAGTCATCTGTTAATGTTACCAGTTTCGCACGTAAAGATGGATTGAATTTGTTTGTGGTCTTGTCTACCGTGGATGATGGAAGTGAAGAGGCCGGTCGCAAGAGTTATGCTTCGGGTGAATTGTTCTGGGATGATGGCGAATCTGAGCCATTGAACTACGTTCACGCGCAGTTTGAGTTACGAGATCGTGTTCTGCGTTTGAGAGCCACCATGTCCCATCGGGATACGCGGAGGATATTAGATCCGAAGGAAACTGCTTTGAAGCGTATCTTTTTAGTTGGAATTTCGAGGCACCCGACCTCTGTTACAATGAAGAGAAGCATGCTGGAATTCCAGTTTATTAAAGATCTACAAACAGTGTTTATAGATCTCCCTCCGGGTTCTTCAATTACGCAAAAAATGAAAATCAGTTGGACGTTTCCGTAGTAAACAAGAAGATATTTCTGTGTGAGGAAAGGAATGTTCTTTCGTTTCCAGAATTCTCTCGCGAATTTCAACGAACTAGCATTTTTTCATTTCTTTACTTTCTCATCATGTCATTGCTTTGATGGTGATCACATGGATCAGAATTGGGAATGCATTTCCATGCTAAATTTCTTTTCTTTTTACAAGCATATGGTTTTAGCTCTAGTAATTTAGGTTAACTTGAAACGCTCAAACGTCCTCGTCAGATACACAATTCGTTCAAGCGAGGGGAGGAGTAGACTCGAGTTTCGCTTTTATTAGAGCTCATCAGTAGTGCATATCCACTGTCTCGTCCGGGATTTGAACTCCGGACCCATCGCATGGAATACGTGTGTGTTACCACTGTGCCAACCAGCCTATGTCAGGGCTGAACCGAATTTTCAATTCATGCTTGTTCAGGTGTCGTCTACAGAGATAGTCAGTCGGTTCAGTTTGTCCCGAAACAAGGTTTTATTTTGTTCCCGGCATTGTTTTATCTCGTGGTTTTCTTAGTCGTTGTTTTATATGGCAATCTGACAGCTGCTGAAAACAAACAGCAGCCGGGGTATACAGGTGACTATGTCCGGACTCCAATCGAAATAGCATCACATCAGCAGCTGTCCCGTGGATGTTTTGGTATACGTTTTCTGGCGGTATATGTGCACCAGTGATATTCTCCAACGAGGACGGTTTCCCTGAATTTATGGATGAAATGAAAATTTCTTGGTTTTCTCCATAGAGCCTGTCATTGAGGACACAGTTTCACTCTGGGTCGAAGGGTCAGTCGGGATGAGCAGAGGGGTGCGGTGAGATCGATTGTGACTGGATTGTTGTGGTGCTGATATTGGTGATCAATTCTGGGCTTTGAACCAGTCGCTTTTGTGCTCATACTTATCGCCCCAGTGGTGGTTGGTGTGTGAGCGTTCTGCCTTAGAGCTGTTCAGGGGCATACGATAGATTGCACTGAATGCGGATTCTGGTCTAATTTGATGACCTGTATCCACTAGATGACCAAGAATGGCGCTTCCTATGCTCCTGTGCATCTTTGTCTTAACCCGTGTGGACAGCGTTCCTTCACGTGCTGGGATAGTTGTCTCGCGTGTGGCCAGTGTACGTTGCCGTACAAATTCACCGGAAGCCGTAAAGAACCATAAAAGTAGTCACCCTAGGCAGCCTATTTTTGTTATTGGTCCAGATACTGGGAGAGCCTATGAACAAACAAGACAATCGAGGTGTGTTGTAAGTTGGGTTCACTACACGCGTCAGACGTTTGTTTATGAGATCAGATATTGCATCACCTTAGAAAAGTAGTTGGAAGAATAATTCTTGCTTCTGAGCACTGTGAACCTGTTCGGATAGTGGCCTTTCCTAAAAGTTTCTCTCGATAAACCGTTCGGGTTACCCGTTTTAACTCACTTTACCCCTTCCCTCTCCCCATCCTGAATGACCTTTCCACCCAGCGTGAAAATGTGACCCTACCATCAAACAACCGTTATATAATCTGTCAGGGACGGTTATGAATCATTCGAAAACAATTGTTCGCCTTCGGAATGTCACAATGAGTTTATTCTGGAATTTAGAATGAAAGAGTAAACATGAAGGAATCCCGGTGACAGTAATGTTGAGCCGACGGACAAATATTGATGATTCTGCTGGCAAATTTTCAGCAGATTCCTGGAATGTCAATTTTCACCTATTTCAGTTAATAAATCGAACATGTTGAATGACGGACTTTGGCGTCAAAATATAAAGTTAATAAAAGCTGCTTTTTACCAGTTAAACATCACACCGGCAGTAGTTTCCATTACGGCTCTCTTTCACGGCTATGACCTGCTTGATCGATTTCAACTTTGAGATGCTTGCTTCACAGAAATGGGTATGTGATTCGCAACCTAATGCAGCCAATAGCGAAATTCTCGCGTCAACAATTTTTCAAGGGGAGGGGGGTATCCACATTACTTTAAGACAACTTTATTGTTTTAATTGCATTGCATGTTAGTATGAGTTTTACTAATTATCTTTGAAAATGAAGTTGTCCATCACCAGAGCACTCATGTAAGAATAACCTGTATCTGTTAGATATTGTCTTACAAGCAANAAAGTTAAACCATTTTTTTGGGGGGGGGGGGAATTGGTTAAATGCTCATGCTTCTCTTGTCTCCAAAAGATATTTACACAATTTGGTCAGATTCCGGTAAAAAAACAAATGTTACGTATATTTCCGGGTATGGAGATGACGAATAGTTTATTTCTCAACTGTTTTGCGTGTTTAGATGTGTAAGAATGTGAGGCCCACTAGGGTTTTATCAAGCCCATATTTGAAGGATTCAAAAGATGGCGCACAAACGAACGCTGAAATTTCAATCGACATTTTGGAAGAATCAAATTTAAGTGATATCCCCTGAGGTGGATATTGGACGACAACGTGAGCAGTGGACACGATGGAGGGTTTGGTTTCTGTAATATTCATTACACAAAGTCAAGTCTCCTCGAATTTGGCGGTACTGTGTGAAATATAATCTCAATGATTGTAATCTATCTCTTCTCCATCTTGGTGGCTATCCTTTGTGGACGTTCCAGTATCTTTAGATCACATTATAGCCATGGACTTCAGACCCAGGTGGCGTAATTTATGTACGGTTGAATTTACCCTGAATCACATAAATAATGGCACAACTTTGGAACAGCCGTATCCATCAGTTCAATCCATTTCCTTCGACTAGTTACTTGTCAGTAGTCAGCTTTGATGAAGTCCATCGTTGTTGTACAGAAGTGGACTTTGTGTTGACTTTATTTATCAGCTGTATTGTGAGGACAATTTGATTCGAGGAAAATCGTCGAAGGACTTATCCACATCTATCTGATTCCTCAGGTGTTTATAACGGGTTATTCTACAGTAACGCCAGACCGATGGCTATTTTAGAATCTGGTAAATAGCAGTTGAAACCTCGTTTCGGATCCATAAGTTGCACCCCCAACAAAGACATCTCGTGACAGAGTGTTTCAAACATGTTGTTCACCTTACACCCATGAAAAAGACAACAGATGATTGCCTATGGTAGATTGATAGCTTAGTTATAAATGACCCGACCACCACCACCACCACCAATCGTGCACACTTTTTAAATGGTGATTTGCACTTGCCATAACCGGGTCGTTTTTGAAAAATATTATTCTTTTACACCGGGTTTAGAACAAGCATGGTGCTAAAGCAAAAAAATGATAATGAAGTTGTGGAAGGATACAGAAAGATTAAATGAAATGGGGAAAACAGAGAACACAGGGAACGAATGAATGATTTTAATGATAGTTTCACCGTACACTTTTTGAAGATCTTTTTGTATTATGGGGAACGGGGTTTCGTCAAACAAACCGCACAGCAATCGCGCCACTGACATCTATTCTGAGCTATATCTCTCAGCGTCTCCAGCTCTCGGCAATCCTCATCCCTTGAGCCCGAGCGTGGAAGCTAAGCTGCACCAACCAAAGCCAATGCTGAAGTTAACTTCTTCATACCTCTACGCCATGTCATCGTCTGACCGCCGTGGCGCTTCTTCCAGCCTTCCTCGGCACGTGCGAAGAGAGCACTGAGAGGTACTCGATGGACAGGCATACGCAAAACATGACCGAGCCATCCGAGGCAGTATAGAACGATTTCTTCTGTTAGAGTACGACTATCAATACCCAGTACGCCATGACGAATTTCATCATTGCTCACCCGATGTTTCCACCAGACACGAGCAATGCTTCTAAGGCATCGGTGGTCGAATACGGAAAGTTGATTGACATCCTCCGCTCGGAGAGGCTAGGTCTTGCAACCGTAAAGCAAAACACTACGGACCGCGGCGATGTACACCCTTCTCTTAAGGGACAGTCGGGTGTCACGGCGGCGCTACAGGTCTTGCAGGTTGGCGGAAGCTGCTCTAGCTTGGGTGCGTACATGGAGACGACAAACACGTTGCGTCTTTCGGAGAGATGACCATTTACTTTGCACGAAACTCTAAGTCTCACTGCACATAACCTAGTGTCTATTGGGATCTAACCCAGGAGCGCGACGTCAGCTACCTCACTGAGAGCCACAACAACACCAGCAAGACCAAGAGCCGCAGCCTCAGGGTCTCCAGAAAGACGCAGGTGAAAATTCGCGGATGGGTTTGACGGGGATGTCAATCGGATGGTGGAGCTGGAGCCTTGAATGCGAGTTTCTTGGATACAACACACATCGATGGCTAGGGTCTCGAGGGTACAAGCTAAGCACGACTGTTGTCTTATACGCATCAAGGTACGCACGTTATATGTGGTTAGTTTGAATTGGCATCGAGGACGAAGAAGAGCTTCAACTGGTGGGGAAAGATTCGGTAAGCCTTGGAAGCTATTCGAGGCAGGACGCGACAGAAAAGGGACGGATTTTCCATCGGAGGCACAACTGGTAGTAAGATCTGAAGATCTTGACAACAATTGGAATGCTTGAGGGGGGTGAATGTGAGGTGGAGCAAAAACTGGAGAATAGGAAGATGTGCACGGTGTAAAGCGTTCGTTATGCAAGAGAAAGACTGATAGAGTGAATTATTGATAAAGCTGAGGTTCACTTTTTGCACTGTGGGCTGTTGTAATACTCGGTAGCCCAGTTCAGATTAGGCGTTGTTCGAGGATGCACTCTAGACATTACAGAACGAAGCACGAGCTACAAGTCAGAAGCATTGTTCCAGATAAGCCGGTTGGTTCATTCGCCTTCTCTGGAAGGCCTTGCCGGGTAAATGGAATTCGACAAAGGAGCAATGGCCGTATGCAGTGGCCGGCCACAATCGGCACGTCACAGCGTTGTCATAAGATACATGAGGTGTTTTGTGTGGAGAACCCTTGCCAAGTGGTAAACCCTTCAGCACTGCCGCTGATCGTCCGCGACCGCTTATTCAGTGAGAATAAACCCACCTTATTCACAGTTAACCGCCAGTTAGCAGCCGTTCCCCTATCCGCGACCTGGGGACGCGCTCGGTACCATACAGCTCTGCTCTAGCCAAGCACGGGGATTAGAAAGCAAATTTTGCCCTTGGACCCGGCTAAACATTGAACATGGCGTCATCTTCGTGTCATATTGGAGAACGGATTTCTATCAAAGATTGCCTTTTTATTGAACTTCGGATTACACGTTTTCTTCACTAATGAGCAAAAATCAGACTTGTTTTCCGTTTTGCGGGGATCGGACCGCAGCATACAAATACACGATTTTGTCACCTCTTGGTCAAGTATCATGACAATCGATTCACAGTAATTTCCACCGACCGCATTCGGAACATGAAAAGTTTCAAATGTAATAATGACATCTATAATTCTTAACCTTTCCTCGGTATACGATACAGAAGAGAAATGTGCGGAAAGTTGAGAAAAAAACTAGATGCTGAAAGCTTTCTTGTTTTTATCAGCGACTGACTTCATTATAACTGACTACTGAGAAGTAGATAGTTGATGGATCTCGGTTAATCCAATCTCGTACCACTATATTAGCGACATACTGTACACTGACAGGAATACTTTTATTTCTCGTTGGAATAATTTGGGATACCATCTTTTAAATTGTATATGTTAACAGTGGAGGTTCGAAAGATGATTGGAATATATTTAACTCACCTCATCTCATCAATTTCTATGTACCTTACCTCATAAACTATCTATTGTGAGCCTGATTCTGTCTGTCATTGTTTTCATTCTAGTAACGCCCGATTCTAACGGAGAAAGTTATCAAAGGTTGGTACAGCCGACCCACAAAGTAGGACAGATGATAACTAATTTTTCACTCTTCTGTACTCTTGGCAACGGGATACCTTCATGTAAACATTTTCTCCTATCTTTCTTGGTCTTGGATTTCGGATGGTAACTTCAGATAATATTGTAAGGAAAACCTTTGACCTTCCAGTTGAACACGTTGCAATGTTTCTAAAACAATACCTTCTCAGGGAATAATTTCCATCGTTTGATAACCGCTTTCGATGCTCACCGAAAATGAAAGATTTTACCGGGGTCAGTGGTTGATTTTGAGTTCGTAAAAGAACCCGAAAAGGAATGGGGTTGTAAAAAATGCCCGTGTTTGTTGTACAAGCGTACCTTGAATGTTTAGTCTCAACAGGGGTAGAATTTGTAATATCGTTTTACGGAAGTTTTGCAAATGGATCCAGAACCTAAGAATTTGAGATAAGATATTATAATTGTTTTTTCTTTCATTGTGTTGTACACGTTATAATAAAATGCGGTTCACAGTGAAATTTCCTTTGATTTTTGTAATACATCTTTCTGTGATAAGGCCACTATTGGAAGTGAAAAAAGTTGTGAACCTAGTTTGATTTTTGTTCCAAACGTTAGATAGGAAAACAAAGACAAATGAAGAGGAGGCGTATCTGGGAGGACAGAGAGTAATCAAGGCGGGTGTGATAAAGTCCAGCATCCATGAGTGCAGCTATGAGAGGGTTAAATTGTTAAATGATTCAAGCTTTGAAACTATGGGATAAATTTTAGCAAAAGTAATCTATCATGTAAGCTGATGAATTTGGATATTCCTTTATTTTTATTAAAACCTAAGTCATCATCATAATAAACATTACCGTCTATTGTTAGCTAAGTTAAATAAAATTCTCCTCTGACTCAGTCTATTGAAAACAGAACGAATTGTAGTTTTACGTCTGCAGGTTCAAATCCCAAGATCTTATCTACTCACTCTTATTTACCATTTATACGCGTTTGACCGAGTCCAGGACTCTTGTATTATTCCGCACATACTTAAAGACATTTTTCTTTTTGTTTACTTTCCAATATCCCGTTTTTCACATTAATATTTTTGTTCGCAAATGAAAACCGATCGAATAACGTTTGGTCAAAAAGCCTCGCCTTGTTCAGAGGGCGAGGAATTCAAGTTGTATCATTACTGTAAGATTGTATCGACTTGTTCATCCACCGACCAGATTGATTTGACCATAGAGTCGAATGATTTTCTGTACGGCATGAGAAGCCTGGTCCATCACATGTGTTCAGCGCAGCACTACATGTGACTACAACATGGACGCTTAATTGATCGAAAAATCAACATAACCGCGTTGTATCACGTGGGACCTGAATTGAAACATGATGATCTTTCCGATTTAACTAGGGTTGATACAGTTAAAATTCCAGAGCAACTATAAAATGTACCAAACATATGATTCTACATTCAAATCGGTAAATAATTGGACGTGTATGAAGTTAACTTATTCCCTTTTTTAACCTTCACAAGTTGAAGCAATTAATTTAACCTAAAATCATCATTTATTCCCAGAGACTTCTCTCTCAGTGCAGGGTCAAACCCTAGAATTCTTCTAGTAACATTGCTTTTGATAAGCGATTTCATCTACTCAGATGTTTTTCAGTAGGCATTTCAGTGCCTATTCTATCCATCATTTTATTGAAAGAGAGAAGGAGAATTATAGATATTGTACCATCTGCGCTTTGCACTTTCAAGTTAGTGGCATGCATTAGATGTTAATGGACGGACTGATTCATTGGTTACCTAAATAAGAACGCTTAAAAAAAGATATTTTATTTTTGGGGAAGTAAGAATCGTGGCACGCAACGGAATGCAGGGGAATAATCGAGAAAACGATGAACAGATTTCACAGAACTGTCTACCGATTTAACAATCCAATGGACAGCTGAAGTGACTGTCTCGAGTAGGCATTCACCTGATGTGTATGAAAACTTGTACGGGTAGTACGAGAGTAGGTCGTGCCAATAAATAGGTTGGTACCCGACTCAATACTTAGGGCAATAGCATCGATCTTGAAAACATTTGCTAACCAGAGAGGTTATGTTTTGATAGTGGGGATGAGAAAGCGTCCGAGCTCACGATGGCTGTTACCGTTTGGCATTAAAGATGAAAAAAGTCAACTATCCTTGAGAATGATTCGTGTACGGAACAGCGTATATTAGGGGATTCGATTACAATGAATAGATAGATGCAGTATTCAGGATCTCTAACTCAGTACGCGCACGTTATCCAAATGATAAGTCAATTTGACAAACAGTGATATAACCGTTGGGTNTGACTGCTTTTATGCCTAATGACATTAGGTTCTAGCACCATATACATATACGTATTAGGCAGTTCACTGTGTCTCTCCAGAGTGTTTAGCAGTAAAGCGATATGACAACTATTCCGAAAAGTGGGCATCGATCGAACCACACCTGCTCTAGAAAAACGGTCCTAAGTGAAAGGGATTAGATTCTAGGAGAACCAAAAAGAAAAAATGTTTGAGCATATTTTAAGGGTCAGTATTTTGACATGCGTAGGGTTCGTGCAGCTGAGTTTAACTGTTAAGTGAATACAGGAAAAAACGAGTGAGGTTAAATAGTTGGTATAAGTCGTTTGAGCAATTTATCGCCGATGCAAACCGGAACCTTTGGATTCGAAAGAAGACCTTTGATTGAGCTAGTTATAACAATATTTATTGCAACATCTCCTCCTCTTGTGGTGAGACAGATGTTAACCAAAGCAGGATAAAAACCGAGTAGGTATAAAAATAGCAACAACATAATAAAATTGATAATTGCCAGTAGGCAAATCAACGGACAAAGAAACGTCATGTGAAACAGAACAAATGAAGGCTCCTCGGATCGCGGAATAGACACATGTATGCATTATAGTTGGAATGACGACAAAAATGAAGAACATTTGCTGTTAGATTTGCAATGTACACCTCCGATGAAGTTTGGGAAACCCTGTGTGAAGATTGTGCATTACTGGATCACTCGAACACAATACAGCTGACGAGAACACAGTCAATTTTATACCAACTATTTTCTTATACTAATTATTTATCCACAGAATAATTCAACATTTTGTATAAGTCCNTATAAGTCCAGGTGCCGCTGATATTTTCACGCGCATAGAACTCAATAGCGCAAGAATCAATACAATAGTTATACGGAATGAAGCGCGAATAGTCAATGACTCAATGGTTGTACGATTAGAGTCTGTCCAAGGCGTTGCACATCCCAAACGAAATAACTAAAACCTTGTTAGACAAAAAGCGCTCCGCGATGGTTTACAAAAATCCTTGGATGATTTAAATTAAAAAAACAACAGTTTTTAAGTATGAAATAATACAAACTGAATTCAGAAGTGACTAAAATAGCTACAACCTAACGGACAATCAACGCGAAACAAAACAAACCTCGGTGACTCACTCAGAGATAATTCATAACATTCAACATTTTGTTCGTGGCATCAATGAAAACCAAGTCCAGTAGACTAG